AGGAGAAGAAGAAAAGAAGGAGGAGGAGAAGAAGGAGAAGGAGAAAAGAAAAAAAAACAACAACCCTGTTTTTGTTTGTTTGTTTATCAAAAAGGTAAATCAAACAACCAGGCAACATCATGCAGGATGTTTTGAGTCAACATTTCTGGCAGGACATTATATCCAACTACATGTCCTTATAATCTAAAAATATGTGTGGTTGCAGGGATAAGTGAAGGAAGGTGTATTGGTTTCCTATCACTGCTGTAACAAATTACCACAAACTCAGTGGCTTAAAACAATATAAATTTATTATCTTACAGCTATGTAGGTTAGAAGTCCTACACAAGTCTACCAAACTAAGGTCAAGGTGTCAACAGAGATGCATTCCTTCCCGAGGTTCTAGGGGAGAGTTTATTTCCTTGCCTTTTTCAGCTTCTACAGGCTGCAATGGTATCTTCTTCTCTTTTCATACTCATACAGGGGGCAAATCTGTTCACATCTGCCAACAGATCTAGAATGGTTTCTTTTCACTCTGCCTGTTCTCTTTCAGATGTACCCTGTATCAATAGACTAAAAGAATTCAAATAACTTTCAAATGTCACTTAAAATAATAAAAAGAAATACATCATACATAAAGAGAGGGAGAGAGACAGACAGACAATGGATTTCTAATGAAAATAGTTGTTCGGTCATACAAATATCTCCATGAGGAATCTTTTCAGAAACCATCCTTTCAAGAGAACATTTGGGTAGAAGTGTCTGCTTAAATACTAGGATAATATTGTGATGGTCAGGACATTGCACATGGACTAAAGTACTTCTACCACAACAATTCCCAAAGGGGATTCATTAATTGGATTTGAGGAAGGAGAATGGAATTGAAAATAACTATATTGCAATTAAAAAAATGACATACGTAGGGCACCTGGGTGGCTCAGTTGGTTAAGCGACTGCCTTCAGCTCAGGTCATGATCCTGGAGTCCCGGGATTGAGTCCCGCATCGGGCTCCCTGCTCAGCAGGGAGTCTGCTTCTCCCTCTGACCCTCCTCCCTTTTGTGCTCTCTCTCTAAAATAAATAAATAAAATCTTT